AGCTCTGTGAGATCAATTATCGTTACTTAGCTCTGCGCACTCTCTCTGTCCGTGTGGTTTTATCACCTCGCTGTAATTTAAGTAGCCTTGGGGAGGAGCCAGCATGGATATATGCTGGGAGATACTTAAAACCACCGAGCTTTCCAAAGAGTGAATTTAATGGTATATACAGTTTATGTCAATAGAATAAATGTGAAAACTTTTGGCACTCCATGTTTTTTCCATTGCAGCGCATGACTACAGATTTTAGAGATGAGGAGAATGAACCAGAGAAGTTCCGGTGAGAAGCCCAAGTTAGTGATGGTTTAAGCCGGGCATTTAGCGCTGACTCAGCTGTGTATCTGGCCTCGTGGCATTGCCTTTGAGCGGTGGCATGGTGGGCCGCTCAGCACTGACCCTGCACTTGCAGTCCGCCTACCCTGTCTGTGCAGGAGGAACACTGATACTTGCAAAAGCTAACCTTCATCCCTGCAACAGTGGAATGGTCTGTGAAACACTGACTCAAATCCAGGTCTGGGCATGTAGCTCCCTTGCTATATCCCTTGCCTAGCATGAGCAGTAGCCTGGATTCATTTCCAAGCACTGAAATAAAATAAGAAAAAGTATTGTTAACTATATTATCGTTGATTCTAAAATAGCTGATGATATGTATACCCTTGGGTCATCTTCAGGATGGATGGGAAAATGAGAACCCTTGTTAAGAGCAATGGTGAATGCTCAGGAGAAAAGGGGTTGTGTCTCACCTGGGCTTCCTTCCCCTCCCAGCTCTCATAATGGAGGCTGATAAATACCCAGAATTCAGAGAGGCTTAAGAACATGCAAGGGGGTTAAGTGGTCTATGGCTTTTCTTAACATAGCCCAGATCAATGCTGTGAAATCGTTTCCTGTTACTACTTAGGGATTGCATGTCAGACTTCCATTAGTGTTAAGTACTCTTTCCTGCCAATACCCATTTCTGTACATTTTTAACTTCTTCATTTCATCTTCACAGTCTTTTACACACCTATGAGGAAATCAGAGAGCTATACTATTGTCTTAAGCAATTCAGTGTTAATTAATACGACATTCAATAGATTTCTCTCCAAAGCTGATCTTGATTTCTTGGACCTCTTAACCTCTCAGCCCCTTGAACTTCCACAGTCCAAGCGGGGAAGGCCAGTCTTTCCCCTGGATGATGACGACTTCCAAAACTGTGCTCTGAGGTGCTGTGATTTTGACCAGTCAGCAAGTCAGGACTGCCCTAGGGTTGTAACACTTGGCAAATAAAAATACAGGTTGTGTAAAAATGTTGGGTGAATAATAAACAAAAATTTTCAGTAAAATAGATCACAAATACTACGGGAGATACACTAACACTAAAACAAACGAACAAACAACCTTGTTATTTACTTGAAATTCCAATTGAAATTGGTGCCCTTTATTTTATCTGGAAATTCTAGGTCCAGGCTACTGGGAGGCCACAGCACTGGGCCCTGGCTTTAGAAAATGATTACAATGCCTCTCTATGGGGGAGGGAAGCCTCATTTCCAAACAGATGCCCCTATTCATACCTGTCCCCTCTCTGTAGACCACGACCCCTCCTCAGGCATGCATCTCTGAAATCTCTTGCCTTCGTGGGCCTGCACCCCACTGTCAGGGTTTTTGGCCTCATTCCTAGGATAAGCTTTGTGATGGTCCCTCTGGGCTGGAAGTGTGGTCAAGAGGCAGCTGGTGGTCGAATGAGGAGAGAATCAGAGAAAACCAGGGCCTCCACTGGTACCTGTGGTGATTTGAACAAAAATGGCCCCCAGCCAGGCGGTGGTGGTGCATGCCTTTAATCCTAGTACTCAGGAGGCAGGATCCGTGTGAGTTCAAGGCCAGTCTGGTTTACAAAGTGAGTTTCAGGACAGCCAGAGCTGAACACAGAGAAACTCTGTCTTGAAAAACCAAAACTAAACCAAACCAAACCAACCCCCCCACCCCACCCCAATGGCCCCTGTAGGCTCATAGTGAGTGTCACTATTAGGAGCTGTGGCCTTGTTGGAGTAGGTGTGGCTTTGTTGGAGGAAATGGTCACTGGTGGCGGGCTTTGGGGTCTTAGATGTTCCAGCCACACCCAGTGTGGAAGTTCACGCCTGCTGCCAGCAGATCATGTCGAACTCTCAGCTCCTGCTCCAGCACCATGTCTGCCTGCACTCTGCTGAGCTTCCCATCATGATGATAATGGACTAAAACTCAGAACTGTAAGCCAGCCCCAATTACATGCTTTCCTTTATAAGAGTTGCTGTGGTCATGATGTCTCTTCACAGTAACAGAGACCCTACTAAGTCAGACCCCTTGCTCCAAACTTCAGGGATATCCCTGCAGAAGGCATCTAGATGTCTCTATATTTTGTCTGCTTTCTGACGGCTTTCCGGTTGGGGAGGTATGTGTGGTGAGGGTAGAGTGTAGCTGGAGAGTTTTCTCTCCGAGTCCCGTCAAGCCCTGGCAGTCCGACAGCCCATTTATAAAATAAACACACAGATGCTTATATTATTTAAACTGTTTGGCCTAATGACTCAGGCTTCTAGCTATCTAGTTCTTACATCTTAAATTAATCCATTTCTATAAATCTATACCTTGACACGTGGCTCGTGGCTTACCGGCATCTTCATATGCTGCTTGTCATGGCAGTGGCTGGCAGTGTCTCCCTCTGCCTTCCTGTTCTCTCAATTCTCCTCTCTGTTAGTCCCGCCTATACTTCCTACCTGGCCACTGGCCAATCAGTGTTTTATTTATTGACCAATCAGAGCAACACATTTGACATACAGACCATCCCACAGCAGGCAGAGTACCAAATTTTCACTTGGATAATGTTTATTTTTATTTATTTATTTGGTGACAGGGCCAGGGAACAAGCCCAGGATCCTGTGTATGCTAAAATCCATCCTATATAAAGGAGCCATCCATACCAGCAATCTATAACTTCTTTCCTATTCTCTTCAATACTTATGCTTGTTTCAGTTAATATTTTGGAAAAAAAAACTACTTTTTTTTTTTGTAGAGATTTCAGCAGTGAAAAACAAAGACATTCCAGCAATGAATTAGCTTATAGAAGTACCTCCCTGGATGCTGAGGCGCATGTCTGTAGTCCCAGCTACTTGTGAGGCTGATAATGGAAGATAATGAATTTGAGGTCAGCCTAGGCCATACGGTAAGATCCTGTGCAAGCCTAATGTGGGTAGGGCACAGCTGTAATCCCAGGGCTCCACGCATGCTAGACAAATACTCCCCCGCTAAGCTACATCTCCCACCCCTTGTCTCTGTTTTTGAGACAGGGTCTCATGGAGCCCAGGCTGACTTTAAATCTTGATGTCTCCAAATGTGACCACGGCCTCCTGATCTTACTGCCTCCATTTCTCAGGACCGAGCCTCTGGGTGTGCACCGCCATTCCAGGCTTGCAGAATGGGTCTATCCTACAGAACTGTATCAGGGTTGCACTTGAGCCATGTAGCAGGAGCCCGAATAGCAAGGCCTTACAAAGCAGGCATTGATCTCTCTCTGGTAGAAGCAGGTCTAGGTGACCAGGTCCTTTCTGTCCTTTGGCTCTGCCGGCCATTCCTGGCTTTCTTCCTCATATCTGCACCATGTCCATCACTCCTGTAGGTAAAAGGGGAAAATAATGGTCTCTCTCTCTCTTTAGACATGGTAGCCCTATGTAGACCAGGCTGGCTCCAAACTTGTGGTCCTCCTCCTGTTTGCCCAGTGCTAAAATTTTTGTTTTTCTTTTGCATGCAGCCAAGAAGGGATCTCTGTCTTTTTTTTCTAAATAGTTTCTTTGAGCTAACCTTGTCTTAGTTAGGGTTTCTGTTACTGTGAAACACCATGACCAAAAAGCAAGTTGGGGAGGAAAGGGTTTATATGACTTACACTTCAGCATTGCTGTTCATCACTGAGGGAAGTCAGGATAGGAACTCAAACAAGGCAGGATCCTAGAGGCAGGAGCTGATGCAGAGGCCATGGAGGGGTGCTGCTTTCTGGCTTGCTTCCCATGGCTTGCTCAGCCCACCTTCTTACAGAACCCAGGACCATCAGCCCAGGGATGGCACCACCCACCGTGGGCTGGACCCTCCCTCATTGATCACTAAATGAGAAAATGCTGTCCAGCTGGATCTCCGGGAAGCATTTTCTCAGCTGAAGCTCCATCCTCTCTGATGACACACAGGCCCCAACTAGCAAACCTTGCTCATGACTGGAGAGCTATCCCCAGCTACAAGGGCTTGCCTGGGCAGTATTTCAGCTGTGCAACATGGGGTTCCCAAACAGGAAGGAGAGCGAGAAAATTTACATACATGAACGAGTATGTAAACTCAAGAGATGAGGGATAAGTCATGTGTTCTTTTTAAAAATTGAGACAGGGTCTTTCATCTTGTTATATATATTGTCCATGCTGGTCTCAAATATACCATCTTCGTACATGCTATGCCTACATTTTAAACACTAAGCTGCATTCCTAGACATATGTAGCTCAAATTCATTTTCATATTATAAAATTTCCTTCCATGCCAAATTTACCTTCATGCGGATATATATGTATTATAAATATATATAAAATATATTTACACATATACATATAAACATCACGTCCAGAGTAATGAGAATTTATTCTGAGTCAAGTATGGTTGGCTATAGCTCAAGAACACTAATTTAAGTCACCCAGATGACTTGTTCCACCTTGCAAACAGTGTTTTCCGCTCCAGCAGGTGCACAGGGGCGGGGAAAGGGGCAGTCGCGAGGCCAGAAGCCTGGGAGGAAACTTTCGGCGTCGCAAACTTGCTGGCGAAGTGCAAACGCCACCGGCTCGCGGCTGCTTGCACACAGCCTGGGCGTCCCCTTCCCTTCCCAGCCCCTCCCCGGCCTTTTCCGACCTTCTGCGCTCCTGCCCAGCGCCACCACCCGCGCCGACGTGGCGGAGCGCACAGGTCGCGGTCAGGTGGTCGGTGACGCCCGGGACCGGCTCCCGGGAGGGCGGCGCCAACGCCCGGGGTGGGGACTGCGCGGGGCGGCCGCGGGCGGAGCGCGGAGCGGCGCGGAGGAGCGCGGCGGGCGGAGGAGCGCGGCGGGCGGAGCGCCGGGAGCGAGGTGGCACAGACATGGACCGCGGCGAGCAAGGTAGGCGGTGGTAGGCTCCTGGCGGCCGCCGGGAGCCTCGGAGCGACGTCTGGGCGACCCCGACCCGGCACGCTTCGGTGGCCGCGCCTGGGAGCCACTCACGAGCGCGGAGCGGGAAAAGGGGCCGCGTCGCTGGAGCGTTGAGTGTGAGCGAGTGTGCCCCGGCGTGCTCGAGCGAGTGTGCGCGATGGCGTGCGAGTGTCCGCGAGTGTGCCCGGGAGGAGAAGGGGAGCGGGAGCCCGCGGAGGTGCTGGGATGCGCGCAGGGAGGGCCACTCAGGCAGCGCCTGGCCTCAGGGTCACCGCCGGATCCTGGAAGTGATGGCGTTCAGATGGGACCATGACTTGAGAAGACTTCCTGCCTGCCAGTTAGGATTCTTGGTGGCCTTTGAGCCCATGGCCACAGTGTTTGGATGTAGATATTCGTCATGCTAGGAGTCCTCAAACTGTAGAGTGCTGCCTGTGGGTTTGGTGGGGGGAAGGGAGCTTTCATGGTTTGGGTCTTGTTCCTAGCCAGGTGAATCGCATAGCACGAAACCCTCGTGCACTAAGCTCTGTCTTCTTTTTCTTCCTAAGACAGCAACTCAAGTGAAATTGCCCGGAATAGAATCATAATGGAGATGTGGCCAGAGTAGGTTATGGTTTTCAATTGAAATATTGCCTACACTGAAGGGCTCTGCTGAGAAACCGGTATGGATGACAGGCTTGAATAGGGTATGCAAATGCGGAAGAAAATGCCCAGTGTTTAGGAACCATTACTGTTGTGTACCCGGTAGAACACCTCATTTTCTGCTTACTTGCCGCTGGTGTTTGCCTTTGGTATGAGTTTCAAGCATGAATTTTTAAAAATGTAAATAAAACCGTGTTTTACTTAGAATTAATTTGTAAGATAGATTTCTTTAACCTAGTAACCCATCCTTTCTTTTAATTTCACACTCACTGTGTGCGCTTATAAACCTTAACATACAATCTATTATATGCTCATAAGTTTGCCACTCGTGCATCTATACACATGCACACATACTGTCTAGATTTTGGCTTTTGGGGGTTACAACTTGTGTTCCCTCTTTGAGCCTGTGTGCTTGGCTGAGTTAACAGGTAACTTGCCCTTTGTAGGTCAATGAGTTAGAAAGTTTGTGTTAGAAAACCCCAGGACACCTTTATAAACCAGCATTATTTCATCTGACTTTTCATGCGCACTGTGTCAGGGTACGTATGTGTGTGGTGTGTGTGTGTGCTCTATGCGTGTTTGTGTGTGAACCTGTTTTTGCATTGCCGCGTTTAACATACTGATGTTTTTAGGTAACAGCTTGCGACTTTGAAGTGCGCTGGATGGCCGTTTGGTTTAGGTGTCTGGATGGCTGTTGTAATGGACAATGTGTTTCCGCCCAGCAGCTGTCTCGGCCCCTGGTGCCACTGCAGCATTCCAGCAGGCTGATGCACTCTGTGTGGTTTTTATGGGACTTGCTTTTTAAAGTTCCTAATGCTAGGACTTGTAAAGTGAGTCTTTACAATGTTCAAGTGTTTTCTGTGAGTGACATACTTACTTGGCATGCTCTCATGGTTTTCAGTTGGGGCCCTCTGTCCCCTTGGAGAGTGTGGGATCCCCAGGTCCTTGGGGGAAGGCCAGTTGCCTTATTCTTGCTAGGATTTCCTTTTACCTTTGTGACAGGCCTCTGGCCTGTCTCATCAGCCAGACCCCAGGGAACTTTGGTACTCAGGAAGGCACAGTCCTCAACAATGATGCCTGAGATGCAAAGGGCCTGGGCAACTGCTTCCAGCTGCCAACCTCTGTCTCCCTGGTTCCTTTTTCGGTCTCTTGCTTCCTGCTTCCTTTTTCTCTTTCTTTCCTACTTCCTTTTCTCTGTGATAAGGCTGTGTTGGGCGGGGCAGATAACTTTACCTGTAAAGGGCCTTTGAACAGGCAGTGTAGGGGGGTCTGCCTTAGAGGACCTGGTGGGATGCCTGGCTTCTTGTGAAGGGCTGGGAGTGAGATGTGCAGATTTAAATCTGATGTTCACTAGCAAACTGTTGGATGGGATGGAGTAGCAAACTGATTGTGTCCTTAATTGTGAGATTTTTTTTAAATATTTCAGTCTAATTTACAAACTGTTTGGATATACTCTTTCTTTTTTCTTCCTTCCTTCCTTCCTTCCTTCCTTCCTTCCTTTCTTTCTTTCTTTTTCTTTTTTTTTTTTTTTTTTTTTTTTTTTTTTTTTTTGAGACAGAGTTTCTCTGTGTTGCCCTGCCTATCCTGGAACTGGATCGGTAGACTGAGCTGGCCTTGACTTTACAGAGATCCCCCTGCCTCTGCCTCCTGAGTGCTGGGACTAAAGGCGTGTGCCACCACCACCACCACCAGCTGGATTTACATTTTATATGCTTGAAGTTTTCTTAACATTTGTCCCTTAGAACATCACCAACGGAAGTTTAGCTGTGAAGTTACATGCCCCTTTCTTGTCTTATATGAACTCTCTTGAAAAGGTCTTAAATTTCCTTGTATGATGGTGCCCCAAATCTATCTTTTGCTACTGATCTTCTTAACGGACCTTATAAGCTTTAAAACGGAACCCATTTCTGTCATGTTCTTTGGTACTTTGTATGTAGTGTGTGGCCCAGGTTCTACCATTTTTCTACTTTCTGTTTAGACTTTGGGTGCCCTGCTTTCCTTCTGTTTCAAGGGCTCTCAAAAACACCTCCAGCTGCATACTGCCTTTCAAGCGTTCTTGGGCAGTGAGCTGGGCACAGCTCACTGTATGTAACGTATATGGGGTTTCCTTTGATGCACCACTGTGCCCCTTGCTGACTGGAGCATGCCTTGTGTGAAAACAAAGCCCCCCCCTGTCTCTTTTACGGGACTGAATAAATAAATATGCCAGGACTCCCTCCCTTACGTCAGTAAGAGCCTCGGCATTGGGCACTGTAATCCGGCAGGGGCAGTGACCCACCTACTGAGCATGGCATTAGTTTCAATAAAATAGTATTTTGAAGGGAACGAGGAGCGGTTGCCAGGGCTAGAAACCCGAGGAGAAGAGACTGTAGGGAAGGAACAATGGACTGATGGGGTGTTATTATTTAACCATTTAGCCTTAGAGATAGCACAAATCTTGGATGTCATTTAATTAAAAGCAAAGTGGGTTTAGAAAAGAATGGATAACCCAGAGGGTCTGCTCGGGCGCCATCGGGAGTGACCTGCCCAGGCAGGTTGTTGCTCGGCACCCTCCATTGCCATATGGTGTTCGTGGATCTCTTTGTTAGTTTTCCTCCACTTCCTGCTTTTATTTTATTTTTTGTGACAGCCTGCCTGGTCCCAAGGGGAAAAGCTGAGTAGTGGGAGTGGCTGTGGTCTCTTAGCAGATTCTTTAAACAGAATAATCTCCGCATGTAATAAAAACAGATAGCAGATATCCACAGTTCAGCAGCTCCAAGCAGAACAAAGCAGCGCCCAGTCCCCCTGGTCCGGTGAGGGGCCTTGTGCTGCAGCTTAAGCCCATTATAGAGTCTCTTGGGGTTAATTTGCTGCTTTAATTGTTGACAGTTGTAAAATCTCTCTTTTGAGACTCTCCCAAACTTTATTTAAACTGGCTGGGTACCAGCTGTACAGATACCATAGTTTTTACATTTTTAATTTAAAAAAGGGATCAAAGGATTTGTTGGTTGATTGGTTGATTGATCTAGACAGGGTCTTGCTAGGTAGCTCAGGCTGGCCTAGAACTTGCAATCTTTCTGACTGTGTGCTGGGGTCATAGATGTCGGTCACTATACCTGTTGACTCAGGGTACTTAAGTTGTTAGTGAAAATTGGAAAAAAAAAGAATATTAAGATCTAAAAATACATTTTTTTGGTACTATAATAGTTTATTTTAGGAAAAGTAGAAACATGGAAGAAGAAAAAGGAAATAAAACTTGTTTTTCTTTCGCTGGGGCTACTGGGTGATCCTGGGTCGGGGATGGAACCCAGGTAAGGGCTCTAACAGTGAGCCATGTACCCAGCAGCATCCTTGTTTGCTGTGTGTGTGTGCTCAGAGGCCGGAGACAGACAGGTGGTTAGTCTCTCTCCACTTTACATAAAGGCTCGCACTGACCCTGCAGCTCCGCGTTTTAGCCAGACTGGTGAGCTCCTGGAATTTACCTGTCTCTGTCCCCATGTTGGGGTCACAGGCATTGGCAGTGACTTTGCTTTTCACATGGGTGCTGTTTTCTTGTTGTTGTTGTTTGTTTTTGTACTTCCAGACAAGGTTTCTCTGTGTAGCCCAGGCTGTCCTGGAACTTGCTCCATAGACCAGGCTGGCCTTGAACTCAGAGATCTTCCCGTCTCTGCTTCTGAGTGCTGGGATTAAAGGCGTGCGCTACCACCACTCAGTAAGAACTGGGGTTTGAACTCAGGTCCTCATGAAAGACAAGCACTTTTGCCGATTGAGCCATCATCTCCTTAGCTCTTTATGTTTTTGGAAAGAAGTCTCTTCCAGCCCTGAGCTGACCTTAAACTCCTCATCCTCTTACCCGTGCCTCCCAAATACCACCAAGCCTGGCCATATTTTTATTTTCAAGGCCATTTGGACATGCTTGTTGGTAGATATACTGTTTTGTGTCTAAGATAGGCAATGTTTTTTTTTGTTGTTGTTGTTTTTCGAGACAGGGTTTCTCTGTGTAGCTTTGCGCCGTTCCTGGATCTCACTCTGTAGCCCAGGCTGGCCTCGAACTCACAAAGATCCGCCTGCCTCTGCCTCCCGAGTGCTGGGATTAAAGGCGTGCGCCACCATCGCCCGGCAGGATAGGCAATGTTTAACTTGTTTCTCATTGGTAGGCATTTAAATGTGTGTGAATTTCTTTCTATGTAGACCAGGTTGTCCTTGAACTCATGGAGATCTTCCTGCATTTGGCATGTGATGTGACTGGGCAGTAACAAGTTTGTCAGCATTTGGACCTCCCTTCTTTGTGTCTGTCTGTTCCTTTGCATCTGATATGGAGAGGACATCTTTCTTGGGAGCATCAGCTTATT